TTCAATGGGTTTTTGGGCAATTGGTTCCAGCTCACCGAAAATTACCTAAATTCAACAAAAATGGTAGAAAAGTTCACTTACTTTGAGGTGTGTATGTAGAAGGCTCCTGGATGATGATGATGATGATGGGAATTAGAATGGGGGTGGAGGAGAAAGCATTGGGGTGGAAGAGAAGTCACCCCATGGCACCATTTCACCCATAAAATTTTAGTTCTCTTGGTGTATTTCAAGATTATTTTCTTTAAATCAACACTGCACTGCATTGTATATTGTCAATATGTAAAATATATTTTAAAATGACCAATAATTTGCTTGGAAACACAGAAAAAAAGCGTTTAGTTGAAGAGAGTCTCAAGCAAGATGTTACCTCCAGTGAAAACAGAGAGAAACTAACGCCTGTTTGCTGTGTTAAGAGGCTGGATGCCGCGCATTAAACTAGTCACTTTACCTTCAATTATGTTCAATAATTGTTAAAATGACTAAAAAATTGAATATTAAACTTTTAAAATTATTGAATAGTATAAACTTCTTGATATTTACTAAAATAGTAAGGAATTTAAGCCCTAGAACCGATTAATGTATTGGCGGACTGACACTAAAGCTGGTTGCCCGGCCAGTGCAAGCGAAAACATGTTGATGTCGGTTCGTAAGAAATTCGTTAACCGAATTGAAGATTCTTATGGAAGGCAGTTCGTTAACCGAAATTTCGTTAACCGAGGGATCACTGTACAGTAGAACGTCGATATACTGCGAGATACGTTCCAAGAGAGGTCGCTTTAAACTGAATTCGCACTAAATTGAAGTGTTGTTTCAATGGAATTATTTAGTTTGGTATTTGTGAGAAACACAAAATACTAAAAAGACTGAGAGTCTACCCAGAGGCACCTCAGCCCATCTCCTGGTATAAACAAAACATTTTTTTGTAGATTTTGTTAAAAGAAACACTCATAAGTCAACACAGCTAAAATTAAGGGATGGGATTGGTCTGTTTACTGGCTGGGAAGATGGGGGGGGGGAGATGAGGTGATATGTTTGACAGTTGATGCCAAGGTCTGTCCTTAAGAGTGACTTTTAAGTTTTTCTCTTATAAAATGTCACTAAACTGACCTGGGATTATAATTAACATTGCTGGAATTCTTATAAGACAGTGCTATAGCTCGCATGAGACATACAAATTTTAGTTCTAACTAATTTTATGAAAGGGTTAAAATTTTTATCTCTTGTGCAAAATATATGACATTTATATACAAATTATTCGTTGCCTTGAAAAGATTCCAGCAATGCAAATTATATTCTCCTAAATTTAGTCTGTGATATTACATGAGATAAAAACTTAAAAGCCTACTGTAAACCACCAAACCCTGGCTGGGAGGGGGGTAGGGAGGTAGGGAAGGAGGGAGGGTAGGTGACAGTGACAATGTTTGACAGTTGGCACCAAGGTCTAGTGAAGTATTTATTTGCTTATTTGTCCTTTAGATTGAGTTTTTGTTTTATGTTTATAAAATGTCACAGACGTGACCAGGGAGAATATAATTTACATTGCTGGAATTCTTATAAGATAGTGATTAATTTGAATATAAATATGCTATACTTTCCACTAGACAAAAATTTTAGTAATCACTTAGTACATTATTTTGAGTACATGTACAGTACAGCTTTGCCCTTAGGACAGTGTAGCGTGCCCAGAGAAACATTAGGCGCGAATTTTAAAATATGATGCGCCAGCTTGACTCGCGCAAAATAGGAAAGATTCGCTTTAAATTATAAACATTGTCCTTAATTGTGGGTGTCGCTTTAAATCAATAATCTAAAAATTTTATCGCTTTAAATCGACGTTCTACTGTAACGCCAATGTTAAGCTGAAAAGTTATAAGAAATAGCAGTAGAACGTACACTTAACCTCCTGATGCTAAAATACACACAGAAAACTAAGGAGACAGTATCTGGGAATGTGGCTTGGCCAAGGAGCTGTGACGTAGCAAGGGGATTTCCATTGTGATTGGTTGCCTCGGGGGGTATGGTCCGAGGGAAGCGCGCTGTCATTGGCTCGTGCTCCTCTCGCTCTGAATGGGATGTTGCCACTTTCTGGAACTGAGTGCACAGTCAGATACGTAGCTCCAGGCCTGAGACAAAACCACACCTTATTTATGAAGGACTTTCTACCATATCGGTATTCTAGCTAGAGGGTTACACCTAACTCCACCATGTAGAGGAAGGATGAAAATATTGATATCCATCAAAAAACACATTTTGGCCAGGGTGTCGCTTCACCCCCTTCAGACTCGGAGAGCCTTATTTGTTTCTGATTATTTGTGAGAGGATTTTCCCATTATTATTTATATGTATGTGTGTTTACACACACAGACACATGTATATAATACAGGTAAAAGAAATAATTGTCCTAAAGGCAAACACATAAAAGGAATATACATTTCTTTGTACACAAGTAAAAATGTACCCCCTGCTAACCAGGGGTTAGGGGACCGGTCAGCAAATGTTATTCACGGATTAGGAAATTCGCGGCCATTTTGAGAACTTAACCCCCCGCGAATTTGAAGGGCCTACTGTACTGTTTTAGTTCCTTGATCTGTTCAGTAGTAGTGTCCATTATTTCATATGCCTCATGTTTACCATAAACCCTTCATAAATCAGAATACGTTTATGGGGCACTAACCATTCTAAGTTATCAAGGCACTTTCCTCCTGGTCTTTTGTCCCACCACAATACCCAGCTTTTAGTCCAAAATAACCTACCATAATCAGAAAACTTGCAAAAAAAATTAACACTTACCAGCACTGCAGGTGAAGGATGAGGATAAGTCAAGCTTCTGGCACCATGTGGTAGGTGTCTCAGGTGGTGGGAGGCTCATTGTAAGCACTTACAGCACCAACTGAAGATTAACTTGGTTACATATTCTCTTAAATGTTATTTTTCACATACCTTATGCATGGATGCCCCAGCATCCACCATCTCCAAGACTTTCTTCTTTTCTTGAAAACTCAGGGATTTCAACATCATACCCCTCCTATTAGGCCTTGTGATGGTGCAGAAACCTTATCTTTGACAGTTGAATAGTACTTTGCACAATTAGTAAAAATAAAGAAAATAAGTAGAGCGGCATAACCACCCATCCATCCTGCCTGCGTGTTGAATTACACCATTTTGAGATTAACTCATCATAACTTCGAATTTTAAAATTTATGTAAAAAACAATCTACTTTTAATATTTTACTGCCATTCCGAGTTATCAAGGGTTTACTGAAATTTGGCAGCACATTGGGCAGACAGATTCCATTTTTTTTTTTAGCAACACAAAAAGTAATTATGAACTCAAATGACTGCAGAGTTGTGTAGAGTCTTTGGGCTTTTATATGGATATCTGCATCCCATGACCAGTTTTCACCACCAAGTGTACCTTCAAACTCTTGGGGGATTTAAAATAACATCAACTCTTTTTAAAGTGTCTAACACCTTGGAGAGTTCATGAAAACAAAAACATCTCATTCAGGGATTTAATTATACCCGGTACATCTAATACAGTAAGGAACTCACTTCTCTGTATGATGAGGCAATACTCAGACTAAGAATATGGCCAGTGTGTGTACAGAGCATATGGAGCAACCTCCCTTATCCTACCACTAACACTGAACAGAAAATTACACTGAAGAGACTCCATCATACACATGGCACAGATTTCTATTAATGAAGAAAGACCCACTTCCAGGCATGTTAAAGGCAGAAAGATCAAACTTATTAAAAAAAAAAGACCAAAAATCTTGGAAGAAACGACCAATTTTTTTAAGACGTAAGTAATGCAGTCATGCATAAAAAGTAGAGAATGGAATTTTAGAAGTTCTTGAGGTATTTAATGAATGAAATATTGGACAGTATTGTGATCATTTTAAGTATAGTAAATAAAATACAGGTACAGTGATTTCTGCTATAACGCGTGTTTTGATAACGCGAATTTGCTCTAACGCGATTTATGAATTAGGAACGATATTTGTATAACGCGAACGCTTGTTTGCTATAACGCTTACTATTTCTCCAATTTTGTGGTACAGTATTAACTGTGAATATAGTAAAGAAGAATATCAACAAGAAGCGTTCTGGTGATAGAATTCCCGGTGATGATCGTAAAAGAAAGGATATAACACTTGAAGAGAAGCTCGATTTTATCAACCTCAAAATCACCCTTCTCCCCCATCAAGTAAAGTGTTACATTTACTGTATGATTTCATTATTAGATATGAATGTAACATTTATTTAGACTGTGCTATCCTTTGTGTTAGGCTAACTACTAAATTTTTTCGATTTCGAGTAATCTGCACCTAACCCTATTTTCTCCATAAGCCCTGTTATTTCTATTACGCGATTTTCTATAACACGATATTTTACAAGAACACAATTATCGCGTTATAGCAGAACTACCTGTACTGTAGAATGGGTTCAATAAACTCATCTGACATTAGCCAAATCAAATATTAAAAGTGGTGTCCCCATAGTGAAGGGGTTAGTGGAGATAGTCTACTAGCCCATTGTGTATGAGGTCCCTAAATTCAACAGCTGGTTTGGTAACTGTAATACTGTTTAATACAGGTACAGTATATATTATTTGAAATTAAGGTACAGCAAGTCCCCGTTGAACGAAAGGGTTAGGTTCCACACTTTCGTTAGGTGGACTACGTTCATCGAAATTATTTTCCCATATAAATTAATGTAATAAGGGGGGATGCGTTGCTGTACTAAGCTCTGTGATAGAATAATATACTGTACTAAGCTCTGTGACAAAACAATTGCAACACATGAAAATAATGTAGATAAAAACAATAAAACATATTAACATTCAACGGGGACTTACTGTATGGTCAAATTTCTTTCACAGGATGTATATTTATAAGGCATGGCTATTAAAACCTCGTCTGATATTTTTTCAATACAGTAATAACCAGCCCGGTGTACAGTACTAAATCTTCTACAGGTTAGAGAAAGTATGTAGGTCTTCTCAAGTTCCCTTTATTGAAATTAATGAGATTTTAATTTTTATTGGCCGGTATCCAACACAGGGAGGTACCTGTATCATCCACTCTTTTATTTTGGTTGCATAAGTTCACTGGTATCTCTTGTTTGTATGTATCTCAACTGCTTCTTCTTCATCTTCTTCAGCTTCCTTGGATCCTTGATCTGAGAACAATAACAACAATATTACTACAGTTCTGTATTTTGACTTTACTCTACAGCAGGCATGGACAACCTTTCCTCAGTCATGGGCTGCATTACGATTTAGGTATTTTTCTGCGGTCCAACTTAAAAAAATTTATATCCCACCAAAAGCAATGTTAATATTATATTAGCATGGACAGTTTGTAATTCCTTTAAATTAGCTGGCAAGCTTAAAATTGAGTTTTGTGGTGCTGAAAAGAAAACGAGACACCTATTTTAGATTTTCTATGTTTTATTTTTGCATTTTCGACTTACGACCTGGTCGTCGGGACGGAACCCCGTCGTAAATCGAAGAGAGACTGTGTAAATATAGTGGTCCCTCGATTGACGAACGGTCCAATTACCATAAAAAAATTAGGTTAATGAATTAGCTCCCATAAGGATTTTCAATTCCATTAACGAACACAACTTCGATTATCGAACGCCTTACGAGAAACACTCTTTGTTGTGCGCATCAGCTGATCGACTAGTCCGCCAATACAGTAATTGGTTCTATGTTTACATTCGTTTCCAGTTGAGTAAATATCAAGAAAGTTGTGCTCTTGAATATTTTTTAATTTTTTTATATTAAAATTATTGGTAATTCTAATTTAGTTAACACATTGATAATATATACAGTCCAAGGAACAGTTATTGTGTGCCAATCAAATGATTGAATCACCCACCAACGCTTCTCAGTTTAACTTTGTTTACAGCGGAGTGAACATCCAGTTTGTTGGTCTCTTAAATACTTTTGCATTTTTACATTAAAATTATTGGTCATTCTGATATTTAGTTCACATAATGATAATATACAGTGGAGAAATTATTATGAAACATGAAGAAGGCATTACAATATATATGTATGTCTTGAATAAAGACGAAAGCTGAGGTGCTCCGTTGTTTCCCTTTTCCTGGATAGATTGTGACTTGTGCTTACGCTTGGAAGCACTAGCACCACATTCTCTGCTTCATGGTCTCTTTGAAGATATATTGAAGGGTTAAATGTCGTACAGTAGCTTCTCAAAATTCGCGAGATTTTAATTCGAAGTTCTCTATTTGAACACAAAAAAAAAACACATTTAAAACTTTTGACGGCGGAAACTCGAATTTCGACAGGTTTGAACGGCCCACCAACGTTCAGACGACGAGCACAATCGTGTAAACAGCGTCATTTCTCTTATGTACAAAAGATTCATTATTGTTTATTACTGAAAGTCTTTTTGATTGAATTAATGTTTGTGTGTGTAAAATGAGCAATACAATTCATTAATAATACGTAGAATATTAAAACACGAGGAAATGAGACAGCATTGTTTTCATTGATTACAAAACCAGTGACTGACTGGTTCTGCATATAAAACTGAAGAAAATAAGACCTGGTTGTAGCTGTAGTAAAATTAATATGGTTGTTTTAAGTAATGTTATTTAATGTTAATAAATGGAACAATAGAAGTAGCTAACGATAATGGTAAAGAAAAAAAGAGAGATTGAGTATGTAAGTGCGCACACGTGAAAACATATCGTCATTACTTTACATAAGAATATGAAAGCAACACTTATTTACTGTTCATATATATTTTAATTAATGTTTCTGAATTTGTTTTTATTGAATTAATGTTTGTGTGTGCAAAATTAAAAATACAATTTATTAACAATACGTGGAATATTAAAACACACGAGGAGATGAGACGGCTGCCGGCATTGTTTTTGTTAAAGCTTACAAAACCAGTGACTGATTAGTTCTACATATAAAACTGAAGAAAATAAGACCCTGATTGTAGCTGTAGTAAAATTAATGTAAAAAAAATTAATATGGTTGTTTGAAGTACCTGTAATGTTATTTAATATTAATAAATGGAACAATATAAGTACCGTATATCTCGGCTTATAAGACGGAATTTGAACATTAAAAAAATCTGCCCAAAGTTAAGGGGTCGTCTATACCACCAAGTATAAAATTCTTACCTCTTAAATATTGTGGTTTAGTGTGTCAAGAGTGGTGATGGAAACATCGTAAGCCACTCACAAGGTCTTACCACTAATTATTTTATACTGAAACTTACGTTTGGCAAGCTGGATTCAAATTAAGATTACCGGTATATTAAAATAATAAAAATGTATTATAAACCTGTCTAACATACCGTAAAAGAGAATTATACCCCTGTAATAAACACAGCTATCATCACACACCCCTCCCCACGCCCCCCCCATTTGCCAGTGAGGAGACAAGAAAGGGAAAGTGACCGCGAGATTGGGCTATTTTTAGCCGTGGAGGTGGTCAGTAATGCATATCGGTATATTTACTGATAATAATACTTCTCCTATAAATAATTAATTTAAAATTTATTTTTTTACAAGGAATATTCAGTAAATGACTGCAATTAATTCTTGAAGCTACTGACAGTTAAATACAGACGCTTAAGTGACGTCACTAGTGTTTACACTACACCAGCTGGTAACATTTGATGCCATTACTTGAAGTGAATTGGCCTTATTTTAAGTAACTAACCATAAATAAATACAAAAAGTAAAAAAAAGATCAAAAGTGAGAAATAATATACTGTATGTATGTTGTGTTGTCAAAGTTAGAGGAACAATTCAAACTGCAATTGTGTGTAAATGAGGCAGAAAGTCAGGTCAGCGCTGAACCTGGGACTTGGTCACAATTTTCGTGATGCCATATGGCAGCAGGGTCTACCATTAGACAACACATTATGCTTCCAATATCTTCCCAGGCGGTAGTATCTACCTGTTTGGTAGCTGCCTACTACCTACACAATTTTTAGTAATATTACTTTGATACATTATAAATTAGACAATAAAAATAAACATCAAATTTAATTACCAAGACGCTTCCCATTGGCAGCTGTAAGAAGAGGGGGAGATGGGCTATTTATAGCCCGTCTTTGTGTCTGAAGTGACCAGTACCGGTACCCTAATGCACCATAAATAATTCATTTAATATATATATATATATATATATATATATATATATATATATATATATATATATATATATATATATATATATATATATATATATACACAATCCGAAAGGGATGATGGATTAGTTGGAAGTGTATCCGTAAAGAAAAACAAATATTTACTTTATACGTTACGTCAATGTTTGGCAACTATAGTTTCCGTCACGACAATATTCTCATTAGGCTGGGTCGGGGAGTGAAGCTCTGCTCACTACATTGAATATTATTTATCACTAAGCGTCAAAGAGTACATTACAAATCATACTAGCATAAAACACATTGAGTGAAGCTCTGTAATTATCGCAATATTAAGTAACACTAACCACCGATTTCGAAGCATAACTCACGGGACAAAACATATGGGGATTGGTGGTCACACTGGACGGTGCGAGGCGGGTGGAGGCGGAGCGGGTGAGGCGGAGCGAGTGAGGCAGGGCGGGTGAGGCGTAGTTAAGTGTAGTGGGGAGGAGCCGAGGCGTGGTTGATCGGGCCAGGCCGGGGCGGGGCAGGGATGGGAGGAAGGGTAAGGAGGGTGAGGTGAGGATTAGGACAGGGAGGAGGATGTAAGTTAAAAGACATGTTAAGTTATAACAGTTAGTACAGACACCGCTTTCATCACTGAAACACAATTTCTACGTTCAACACTGACCAACAATCAAACTGCAATGCCCAAAATCAAGTTCCCGGCTGGAGTTTTTGTTCACGCCAACGAGAAAGGGTGGATGGACGAACAAGGAATAAAGTTATGGATTGATCATATATGGTGTAGGCGACCTGGTGGCTTTCGAAAACAGCGTAGCCTCTTAGTATGGGATATGTTCGCGAGTCATTTAACAGAGGGAACAAAAACCAGCATGGCGAGGAACAAGTGACATTGCAGTTATTCCTGGTGGATTAACTTCAGTTGTACAACCACTTGATGTTTGTCTAAACAAACCATTCAAGGACCGCGTTCGTGAACAATGGAACAAGTGGATGATCAGCGGCAAAAAGTCTTACACGAAAGGTGGGAATATGCGTGCTCCCGAACTGGATGTACTGTGTGATTTTGTTATCAAGGCATGGAATGATATTAATGTGGAAACAGTTATCAAGTCTTTTAAAAAGTGCAGAATATCTAATTCAATGGATGGTATGGAGGATATGATGTTGTGGGAGGACGAGGATGAAACAGAAGCCGAAGCCACGTCATCTGATTTGGAGTTTGATCCTTATGATGAAGCAGCCATAAATGTATCTCAGGATGTACTTGAAGAACTTATGATATCAGATGTTGATGATGTGGATTTTGAAGGTTTTTAATACATGATGACGTCAGTAATAATCATGTGCTAATAACATTTTTAACTTGTCGGGTAATTTGCTTTTAAAATATTGTGACTTAGTAAATTAAATGTGTGCATGTGTATATATGTATACATACAGTATATATAAATATGTTCGTGTAATAAATGTATGTAGTAAGTACGGAATATTTTTTCACTCAAATCCTAATGAAACACTACTGGAGAACATTCCTTTGTCGCAAAACAAGTTTATAAATTAAAGAAAATAATTACAGTGTGTTTAATATATTACAGTACAGTTGTACCCCACTTAACGCGGTCAATTGAACCCAGAGGTTCCCGCGTTAAGTGAAATCCGCGTTCAGTGAACAACAGAACATATGGGATTAATTCCAATAGAAACCGGCCCGACCCCCAAACTCCACTTTTTGAAGGCACATACCTATGTTGTAGTAAAAATAACATCTTAATTTTATGATGGTACATGCACACAGTTAATACTTAAGAGAAATAGAGAAATACAGTCGCCAAGTTAATGTCCATTCAAATAATGGACTCGACTCCCTCCCCCTCTCACACTACACAGCCGGCTAACAGATGGTCGGTCGGTCCCTCCCTCCCCCCCCCACCCCCCACCAACCGTCCCAAGGAGATGTGTGGGATAACCTCAAACTAAAGTTAGGAAAATATAATTGACATTGCTGGATTC